CATGGATGCGGCCAAGCGTGAGGTGTTTGGATTGCTAGAAGCAGACGCGTTTAAGATGGTTGGACCGTAGCAGCGAATAGACAACTGCATCAAGTCGAAACTTCTTTTTGATTGGAAGGTAGATGCGTTCGGCTTTCCTACAAAGGCCAAGGCTAGACCTGTTGCGAGAGGAGACATGCAGAAGGAGTACATTGACTTTGGCGATTTGTCTGCACCTACTGTAGCTTCGTCGAGTGTTCGTATGTTGGCAGCTCTGGCGTGTGAGCTTGACTTGGAGTTTTGTCACTCCGATATCGATCAGGCCTTTGTGAGGGCCCCTCTCAAGGAAGATATTTTTATGCGAATGCCGGAAGGATGTGGTGCGTTGTCGGGGAAGATAGTGCAGTTGAACAAGAGTCTTTATGGCTTGAGGCAGGCATCTAGGGAGTGGTACGCGTTGCTCAAAAAGTGTCTTTTGGCTTTGGGGTTCGAGCAGTGCATGGCTGATTCTTGTGTTTTTCGTTTTGTCGAAGGGGGGGAAGTAGTGTTGCTTCTAGAGGTACACGTAGACGACATTTTTGCAGTGGGGACGAAGGAGAGATGTGATCAATTCGGGAAGGACCTGGGAGAGTACGTGCCGGTGAAGTCTCTGGGGGAGTTGAAGTGGTACTCCGGTTGCTATTACGAGAGGGACAGAGAGGCAGGTAGGCTGACGATTTCACAGCAGACATACACCGAAGAGTTGGGAGAGAGATATGGTGTGGAGTGGGGGGGAGGCATTCCTTTGCCCACCACCTGGAAACTTTGGGACTTCGACGCGGACGAGCCGAGCGTAGAGCACCCGTTTCGAGCGCTGGTTGGGTCGCTGCTGTGGATTGCCCTGTTGACTAGGCCGGATATCGCGAATTCGGTGAGAGCAGTAGCGAGGTACTCTGGTGCACCGAAGTTGATTCACTGGAAGGCTGCACTTAGTATTTTAGGATATGCAGTTAGGACTAGTTCTTTCGGAATTTGTTTTCAGAGAGGGACGGTTTCGGGGTTTACTTTGATCACGTTTGTCGACGCGGATTACGCTTCACGTGCGGCAGACCGTAGGTCGGTTTCAGGAGGGGTAGTGATGTGTGCAGGAGGGGCAATTGCATGGTTCTCCAAGGCTCAGAAGTGTGTGACTTTGTCTACCACGCCGGCTGAATTCGTGGCAGTGGCGGATATGGGGAAGGAGATTTTGTTTTTGAGGCAGGTTTGGCGTTTCATGTTGCCGAAGGAGTTGCGGCCATGCATTCCACTGTATGAGGATAACGAAGGTGCTATACAGATCGCAAAATACCCGATCTCGAATTCGCGGCCATGCATTCCACTGTATGAGGATAACGAAGGTGCTATACAGATCGCAAAATACCCGATCTCGAATTCGCGGCCATGCATTCCACTGTATGAGGATAACGAAGGTGCTATACAGATCGCAAAATACCCGATCTCGAATTCGCGGCCATGCATTCCACTGTATGAGGATAACGAAGGTGCTATACAGATCGCAAAATACCCGATCTCGAATTCGCGGCCATGCATTCCACTGTATGAGGATAACGAAGGTGCTATACAGATCGCAAAATACCCGATCTCGAATTCGCGGCCATGCATTCCACTGTATGAGGATAACGAAGGTGCTATACAGATCGCAAGATACCCGATCTCGAATTCCAACTCGAAGCACATCGACGTGCGGCATCACTTCCTCAGGCAGCTCGTAGATGAGAAGGAGGTAGAGATCATCCACGTAGCGTCGCAGTATCAGCATGCCGATTTCCTCACGAAGGCGCTACATGAGAGAGAGTTTGTTTTCCACCGGGACTACGTGATGAATTTGAAGTGAGAAGTCCAGGAGATTCTTTTTGGCCTTCGAGCTTTATCTATGTATTTGTCTTATCCGATTTGTTGGCTCTCGTGTTGATTTGTTTGATTTTCTGAGAGATTGAGTTCAGGGTTGACCGGTAGAAATTGTCGAAGTTTCTGGGTTAATGGTCGGCAACGAATGCAAACCGATGGGAATTCCAACGAATGTTTCTGGTTTAAAGGTCTTAAGTGTTCGGAAAAGAATAAAGTTTGAGACGAAGGGAATGTCTTGGGCTGTATTTTGTTTCAGGTTTTTGGTGTGGGACGATAGTAAGCATAGTATATTTAAGTCCGGGTGTGATCTTGCCAATGCAGCGAGTAGGGGGGCTGTTGGACGTACTCACAGCATCGACAGATTATTGCAAGCAAGATTTCCGAGCAGATGGAGCGGGGAGTTTGGGGGTTCAGCAGTTGCTATGGATTAGATTTGGTGGTACCAACTTTGCCGCATATTTCAGGATTGAGGGTGGGGGTATAGGTGCGTCTACAACGGATATGGTGATTGATTGTGTTTTGTGGCTGCCCACTTCTTCTTTTTTCCTTTTTTTTCCTTCTTCTTGTGTGCAATCAAGTCCTTTTTCCCCGGGTATCACGCCACGGCTACCACGCCAATCCCGGCTATCACGCCACCCGGCTACCACGCCTTCTGTACTTCCACGTTCTTGCACACCCCTTCGCAGCACGGCTATCACGCCAACAGGCTTTCATACCACATTCAGAGATACCATACCCGAGCTATCACGCTCCATCCCAAAGCAGCAGGCTATCACGCCCATCGTAGTTCCTCCATTGTACCGTTGGCGGCGACCACGCCGCTGGCTCTTTTATTTCCCAACTACGGGACCCCGCGCGCCAAGGCACCGACGCACAAAGCTACTCAACAACGTACGTATGACTCGTGTGATGACACCACACACAGGCTACCACCATAGTAATTCAGTGTATGGTACAGCAGCAACAGCTATATATATATATATATATATATATATTTTGCCGTCCGACAATTGCAGATGTACCTCAGAAAACTTTCACTTCATGTCTCATACTCTACATGAATATTAAACCAACACGAAGTACAACAACATATGTAGGACTTATTTCTACTGTCACTTACATCGTAAAAATATCTCCTCTTCAATTTCAAATAAAACCAATGTCAATCCTCATGGTATCCTACATGCGTTCGTAAGCTTGCTAAAATACGACTACTTGCGTTGATGTCCTCTTGTAAGAGCTGAAATCCAACAAATGCTTTGATCCATGCTACATCTCCGTGTTGGAAAAGCCCTTTCATCTCCGTTCATGATAACATCTTACCCTATTCTACGCAAATCTGTCACATCTACTCTCAAACAAGACGTCAACTTCAAACGAAAACGCGTTCTACGATGCGTCTACACTCCATCCCCATATCATTGGCGTTGACTGGTCCGAGGTCGATCTTGTTCGCCTGTTTTCGGCGTCTTGACGCCCGCGCAATGCGAGCTTGTACCTCTGCACTCGCCGAGATATGGCCACCTGTGTAGCCACCGAAACGATCTGAAGAAGTCGTTCCTTGAAGACTCCTTTCAGAGCCATCGTTCCTCCGTCCCTTCCTCCCACGGCATGTGTCGCAAGTTCATCGATGAACTCGTAACCCTCCTCTCCAAGGCGGCCAAAGCTTTCCACGGCTAAGGTGGTAAGTTTAAAGCTGCGTTCGTCAAAGGACACGTGTCCCGGACGAGCGTAGTGCTGACGCTTTCGCGCCTCGGATGCTTGGGCTGCGATTCCATCGCTGGTCGCGCTGCCGTTCCGCAAGTGTACCTGTGCTTGCGGGTCTGCGTGTGTGACATCGAGGAGTATTCCTTTGTTGCGGTACCCCGGAGAAGATGCGTTCGTGAGGGCTCCTGGCCTGATGACGATGTCCATGCTCAGGTTTCTTTCCCCCGTGAACGGTGCCCCGCTTTCAACGTCGTGTTTGACGCGAAGGCCGTTGAGTGCTCTCGATAGTGCGTATTTTAACGGCTCGTGCATGTTGACCTGTGCTCCATCCCTTCGACAGGTCCTTGCGTGCACCGTTGTGATGATCTCGCCTTCCCTGCCTCTGTGGCACCTGGGACATCTTTCCGCCAAGAATTCTTCAACTCCCAAGGCGCGTCTCGTCGCGTAGACGAATTCGTTCAATGGAATCTCTCGAGCTCGTTCGGTGGGAGCCGCTTTCAGGAACGCGTGTTCCCCTTGCCCTTGCGAGCTTCTCGTTCGTGCGTATGCCATGTTCCTGGCCTCTTGACCTCCGTAGGGGTTGTCCCTCGTGTGTGGTACCGCCTCCTGAGGGAGGTGCTCCAGAGACTCCATGAACTTTTCAAGTTGTATCTTGCTAACCGCCTTGCCCAGTTTGTGCTGTGCTTTCCTCGGCGTAGTAGATTCCTCATCGTGTGCTGCCAGCTCTGCAACGGTGGGCTGACGCCTTCTGGTTTCTCCTGCCGGTTCTAAGGCCCACTCAACCCATGACGGGGGAAGGATCCCCTTCAGAATCTCCACCGATACTCCATGCTCCTGGTTGAGTTCTTTGATAGCGTCCCCCATCCGCTCCACCAACAACACGGTTCCCGGTATCCGAACTCTCACCGACTCTCCCAATGGACCCCGTAACCCGGCTATATTTTTTGGTGTGTATTTCTAGGTACCAATTTTTTGACCAATCATCATCAATCAGGAGATACAACAACCAGCATCATCCACGGTCAGGTTGAAATATTATAGTCTTTCTGTGCGTGTATTTATTAATTTTGATTTTTCTAGAAAAAAGTGAACCCGCCGTAGGTGACACGTCATGTCGGCCAGGGATTTTTGGCCAACCTGAAAAAAAATCTCCTTACAAAAAAACTGGCCAATCAGAAAACTGCGGGCACCTTTTTTTCTCTCTCTGGAGGGTGTAGTTGTGAGCGTGTGTCGGTGTTTCCTGCGGCGAATGTTACCCGTCGAGATTCGTCCCTGCTGTGTGCCTCTCTTTTTTTTTCCAAAGACCGTCCGTCGTCATGCGGGTGCGACAAAAAGATTACAAGAAGAGGGGCTGGGATGGTGACCCAGCGTAGGGTGGATCGTAGCAGCCAGGAGTGAATGCGTTCGTCCAGGGAACGAATGACTGGCTGTATCCGTCCGTGTGGACAGCGATTCCCGTGAAAGTCTGGCGTCATCATCAGTCCAATCAGTCGTCCGCGGCGAATTTGTTTTCAATTTGAATTTTTCAAGAGGTGACGTCATGACCGTGGCTGACATCAGCGGTCGACCATGGAGTTTTCGACCATAGGAATTTCCTCCCAAAAAATTGGCCAATCAGAAAACTGCTGGCACCTTCTCTCAGTCATCCACGACAGACAGTAAATAAATGTGCACAATATTATTAGCTGCTGAAAAAGCTTAGGGTTCTGGTCCCGGAAACATGACGATCTTCCAGTCTTCTTCCGGTCTTTGATCTTCTCGCAATCTTCCAAAGATCTTCAGAATGCAAAGCAACGGCTCGATTTGAAGTACTTCAAGATATTCCTGGGTTCCCCCGTTAAATTGACACGAAAATTTTGGACTGAGATAGATTGACACAAAAAAAAAGTGACGTTTGGCAAATTGACACGAAAAAAGGCAACGGTTGGTAAATTGACACGAAAAAATATTCCGCCGCACGTTGCCTGGCGAAGGCCAGCAGCGGCGCAGCTTCAAGTGAAAAAATTCAACACCAGCTGCACCGCTGCACCGCCGGGAAACCCAACGGTCGCGCTCCCTCATCACCGCACCCGACATGGAGCGAGGGGATGGTGCGCCTTGCGCGAGGTAGAATCCGCTACGAGTGGTATGATGAGTGCATGCAGGTTCTACTGCTTGCTGTGGTATACGCGCTAGCTGGAGAGGAGGACATGTTCCTCGTGATGGCCATGTTTGGCGTAGCAAAGCTGGGGACATGTTTCCTCTCGACTCCCGAGAACTTCACTCCGCGAACTACACTCCCCAAATCCCAACCGCCGCCAGCGGCTTCGCGCCCCTAGCACGTGCGCCCAGAGCTACCGTCTCTTCCACCAACAACTGCTGTAACCTCTCCCTTCACGGGCGGGGCACCCGACTAGCTGCTGTTGTGGTTATCTCCCGTGTGCTTCGAGTCCAGAGTCCAGACTGACCAACCTCGGCGTGTTTTGTTCTCGATCCCGCGATGAACGCACACGATCCTAACCGCGGCTTGACGTTCCCCTAACGCGATGTACTCCCGGGAGCGTTGTGTTCACGTGTGTGGGTGTGCGGGAAGCTGCGTGCGAGCTTGCCGACTGAGTTGATGCCTTCGTGTGTGTGCGATGGCGCTCGTGTCAATTTGTCGTTTTCTCGTGTCAAACTACCTCAGGTGAACATGTTTTGACCACGTTCTCGAAAAATTCTGACCTGTGATTCTGACATGAAAGAGTGCGGCGTAAATAATAACCTCTCGTGTCAAAATTCTGACGGTTCGTGTCAAAATTCTGGTCTCGTGTCAAAATTTCGTGCTCGTGTCAAAATTCCTGACACACGTGGGACCCATGTATTTACATGGAGGAAATGATCCCAGCAGACACGATCCGCAATAGCAGACGATATTACTGCAAGCGGAGGACGGTGTACTCAAGATTCCCACAACCCGTCAGTTCCGCACGCACCACACGACGACCAGACCTACCTGTGCCGAGGAACGAGACACGACGTACATCAATGATTTCTACAGTGCCCGGCGCACAATAATACGGTACAGGATACAAACCTCTCCACAAAATACCTGGAACATTCCCGGGTTTCCCCATGTCAACGCTAAAACCCGTTTGGGCTGTTT